GCTCCCTCAGCACTGACCCTCTGACAATGCGGCGCTCCCTCAGCACCGACCCTCCGACAGTGTGGCACTCCCTCAGTACTGACTCTCTGAGAGTGCGGCACTCCCTCAGCACTGACCCTCTGACAGTGCGGCGCTCCCTCAGCACTGACCCTCATGCAGTGCGGCACTCCCTCAGCACTGACCCTCTGACAGTGCGGCGCTCCCTCAGCACTGACCCTCTGACAGTACTGACCCTCCAACAAAGCAGTGCTCCATCAGTACTGACCCTCCGACAGTGCGGCACTCCCTTAGCACTGACCCTCCGACAGTGCGGCACTCCCTCAATACTGACCCTCCAAGAGTGCAGCACTCTCTCAGCTGTAACTCCTTTGTGCTGAGGTTGGCAGCCTTTATCACTACTATAAGTCCACAAACCAGATGAGGGTCTTTTGAATGACTCGCTATCTGACATCCATTGCCAAGTTTAAAAGCTCCCTCCAGCTTAAGGATTTTAAATTCTGACCCAATTTCATACTCCAGGTGTGAATTACAGGGACTGAGATGGGAGAAAGCAGTGGGATGTGGGGTATGAGTGGGGGAGGGAAGGGTGATGTTAGTGTGAGTTGTGGTGTCTGAAATGGGGTTGGTGTGAGTTATGGAACGTTTCCTCTTGAGTGCATGAGTGTATATACTTTCCCAAGTTCAGTTGGTTGCTCCCAGATGGAGTGTAGAGTTCAGGGAATGTGAGACAGCAACTTTGGGATGGGGAGTGCTGGAGCCGAGGAGTGAGGGTTTGGCAGGCAGGTGAGATGCATGTAACTTGGCTGAGAGGCTGGACATGCCAGTTCTGTTCATGAGGGTCAGGTTCGACTTGTATCAGTCCCAAGATATTGAACCACCTTCTGCGAGACTCAAAATCCAAAGAAAATGAGTGTGTGCTCAGGGGCTGTCCTCGACAACAGGCTGCAATGGGTTGAATGCCATTTTTCGGCCCTTTCGCCTACCTCTTCATGTCATTCATCTTTAGAAGCTGCTCAATGATTGAGTTTTCACAGCCTCTGAGGTGGAGAATTCCAAAGATTGACCACCCTCTGAGTGAAGAAATTCCTCTTCATCTCCGTATTAAAGGCTGTAGCCCTTTCCGTGAGACTGTTTCCCCGATTCAATTGTCAATGGCCGCATCCAATCGACACCCATCCTGTAACATTCTGAAAGAGTTTTGTAGTTTTCAAAAGGTCACCTCTCATTTTTCAAAGCTCTCATCAAACTCTCCCCCATAGGGTGGCCCAGTGGTTAGCACCTGCTGCCCCACAGTCAATAGGACCTGGGTTCAATTCCAGCCTCAGACAATGTCTGTGTGGAGTTTGCACATTCTCCCCGTGTCTGAGTGGGTTTCCTCCAGGCGCTCCAATTTCCTCCCACAGTCTCAAGATGGGGGGGTTAGCCATGGGGAATGCATGGTTGCAGGGATAGAGTGGGTCTGGGTGGGATGCACTTTAGAGGGTTGGTGCAGACTAAGTGGGCCAAATGGTTTGTTTCCACACTGTAAGGATTCTATAAAATATCCTGACCATCCCAGGAATTAGTCTGATGAATCTCTGTTGTACTCCCCGTACAGCGTGTGTCCTTCCCAAACTGTACATGATGCTCCAGGTGTGGTCACACTATACAACTGCAGCAAGATATCTTTTCTCCTGGACTCAAATCCTCTTTCAATGATGGCAACAGACCATTTGAAATGAAGGCTAACTTCCATTTGTATTTCTAATTGCTTGCTGCTTGTATGTAGAGACTTATGGACAAGGACACCCAGATACCTTTGGACACCTTTACTTCCCAACCTCTCACCATTGAAGAAATACTCTGCTTTTCTGCTTTTTCTGTCAGTGAATGACTTTACACTCACACTATATTCTGTCTGCCGAGATCTAGCCTATTCTCTCAGCCTCTGCAAATAAAACTTTTTCACTGAAGGAAGTACAAAGACTAGAATTTGATGTTTACTCCTTTAAATGAACCCTGAGCACATTCCCATGTGTTTTATGGTAGTATCCACGACTTTCATCGTGCATTGAGGCCAATTCCTGCTGGTTTGATGGATAATTCTACCATCTGATACTGGAGAAGGGAGATGCCTCAATCCAGCCAGCATTGGGTGTCTCAGTCCCTAAACGTGTCAGAGCAAGGACTCCCAGAATTTGTGGGAAATGTGAAGCAGAATTTCAACAGCATTACGTGCACAGTGATGCCTCCGCAGTCCAATAGCTGCACAACAGACTACAGATTCACAGAGGAGGGGCAGCCACAGATTCTGTGGAGTGATGGAGTAAGTGAGGGTCCCAGGGGTCCTTCCTCTGTGGCCCAGCAAAGGTCAGCCCCTTTTGGAAGGGGACACCCTGTTGCAAATACCTGCTCTTGTTTGCAATGCTCGCTGTGCTGGTGAAGTGCATCTCATAGTGTTTCTCTCTCTCTCTCTCTGTCTCTCTCTGTTTCAAACCTCAGCAGCTGGGGAACAAGCAACTTGCTTTCCAGCAGCAGTTTCTTCAAATGCAGCAGCTTCAACAACAGCATCTTCTAAACCTCCAGAGGCAGGGACTGGTGACACTGCAACCTGGACAGCCCACAGTACCACTGCAAACACTCGCACAAGGTGAGTACAAACCGGGCATCTCATCATCATCTCACTTTCACCAGCTCACAGGGAATCTACAGGCCCTACACCAACAGGGTCACATTTAATTCCTGTCCCAGGCACAGTGACTCCTGCGAGAGCCCCGGGCACAGTGTCTCCCCGCCCTGGAAATCCCTGGGCACAGTGAACCCCACGAGAGCCCCGGGCACAGTGACGCCCCCGAAACCCCCGGGTACAGTGACCCCCCTGAAACCCCCGGGCACAATGTCCCCC